CCTTGGGGTGCGGTGCTGATGGACTGCTTTTACTGGATACAAATAAGGTTTTGAGATCATTTCCTTAAAAATGATCGCACGCTACATAACTCTATTATAAGCCGGCTTTTTATCGTTGGCGTATGGCTGTGGTAAGCGTTTTCGTCGTAATGGATATCTATAATAAGCACCGTCGAGTTAATATGGCCAGATAAACTGAAAATATTATTCACTTTCTGCCGCGCGTAATGGATATAAGTTACCTTTGTCGTCCAGTTGGACGCCATAATTCATCGAGACTGGCAAATGTTGGCCTATGCTTGCTCCGTATAATAAACAGATGGTGTTTATTTTTATTTTATTTGAATTATAAGTGCTAAATTTTATGCCTGCATTGATTTTATGAAATGCTCCACTACGGCGATTGACACCTATCAACCGACGTGTATTCATTTTCGATTGTCGAATAATTTCCAAGTTACCAAAGATGGGCTATTTGCGAGAGAGGAAGTTTAGTTATGCCTAAGGTCTTTCGTGAACGCTTCTTAATGTAGAGATAGAAATGACAATGACTGAACGCTCTTCTAAGCTACTTAGTCTTACTTTGATGCATTTAAAGCAAGGCAGTAACAGCTGAACTCCTGCTAAGGCGGAAGTTTTTTGCCTTTTTCTCAATGGAGTATTAACAGTCCTTGTCGCTATTACGAGCTCCGGTGGATGCATACGCACGTCGCCGTTTGTTTGTGCGACACGTACGTGCCAGCAGACGCTGCGCGACGAAATAGTTCATGAAAACTACCCCTATGAAGTATCGAAATTCGTCTGCTGCCGACGTTACGCAACTGAGTGTTTCTCTTTTCTATCGAAAATGGTTTTAGACGTTGCGCACGTCTGACATGATGGGTCTCATGGCCTCTTTACATTGAATAAATATACTGGCAAAGCGTACGAGTTCTATACAGCGGCCGCTAGCAGGCGTCAAGCTCTACTATATTTGTTTGTGATTTTTTTTTTTTGCGAATAGTTTGTCCTTAACGGTCCTAAGAGCTTACTGGAGTGGAGTTTCAAAAATGACTAAAGGCAGCAGCAGCGGCTAGAAACGATATTGTATTTATTTAAATCAGGCACTTAGAATTAGGCGTGACAGCAGCCTGTTATTATTTATTTCTTACTTACGTACACAAATACAAGTAAAGGTTACTTTTATTAGTCAATAGAAGTTAGACCTTCAATTCATTATTTACTATTACTGAATTACTAAGCGTCTTAGGAAGATTATAACACGACAGATGCAATAATTCTGTAATTTAAATAAATAATATTTATAAATTTTACTCGTCCGCTCGACTGAACGATCGACAATACATTATTAAAGTGTTTTAATGGATAAAACGTACAATATTTTTATTGGAAAATAATGGGTATAGATGTCCCAATACATCTCGCAAAAATATTTTTTTCTTTCTCTTCCGTGGATAGTTTCTAGCCAGTTAATTGTTAGTATTGTCCTAACAATTAAATAGTAATAAATACAAATGAATAATTTTTCCTAGAGAAACTCTATAAAAAATAATGTATAGGTTTGGCATAATGGTGTTCACCAGTAACCCTAATCGAGTAATACATAAGTAAGTTCATTTTATATACGTATATGTATCTATATATATATATATTACATGCGTTTGTCCATGTTCTAATATTTTGCAGGCAGAAATAACCAGTAAAAGTCATACTTATTTTAATTAATGTTATCCAGAAAAGCTAAAAATATACTTATAAAATGCGCTACGGACAGTAAGCCTCGGGTTTGCAAACATAAAGCACCAATTTCGACATGACATCTGATCATTGTTCTAGTTCTTCATCTCATCATCAATTATCGCTAGATCATCACGTAAAACGCTCTGCTTTTAACCCACGGCTAGCGCATAGAATTGAAATGTTCAGTCCTGCCCATCACGTTCTATCACTAAATACATAGACAATCGAACAAGTAGGCCAAGGGACGGCCACTCCTATCGTCATATCGCCATACAAATTGAGAGCGCACTGAATTAGTTATACACATAATAAGTTCTGCCGAAAAACGTAAAATAACCGTCACTATTGATTAACGTCTCAAAGCTGGCGAACAGATACGCTGCGAAACTCTGTGTACTTTGACTCCAAAGAGCTGAGTAAATTTTCTGAAAACCCATTTAAGATCCGTACTGCATTAATTTTACTCAACTCTGGCGTCGGTTTCAACGAACACTGTGCGCGTCGAAGCAATTCAATCTAAAACAGGGATACAGAAAACAAAAGCTAGGAACTTTAGGCCGCTCCTGGGAAACAGAATCCGATATCTCTGAATACTTACAACTTCGAAGCGACCCAACCAAACACCTGTCGGTAATAGGTTTAATTTGGCAAACGCGCCATTTACGTACCCTTATTGGGACAGAGACGGCGCAATCGATATACCAACGTGAACGCAGCATTCGGAAGTGATAAATCACCGCATTGTTGATACCTCAGCTCCAAAAATTTACAGCCAAACAATTGCATTACTTTCGCTAATGATGGTATTTTGAGCCATCAGATCCAATAGAACAAACTCGGAATTAAGTAGCGTAGGACTGTTATAAGTTCTTACGAATATAAGATTGAATGCAGCTCTACAAACGTCGTGATCTCATTATATGAACCAATGGATATATACATGTAGCTAATTATTGACTTGACGTCCATTTCCTATATATATATATATATATAGATATATATGATCTGCAACGTATATACACATATAATGACATAAATATTATATAATAGACACATCGATCATCATTTTTCACCGATAGTTAGCAGTGTCCGGACGAATCCGCCTCACAATAGAGCGATCGCGAGCTATTCTTAGACGAAATATGAATTAGTGAACGGAAGAGGATGACGTAAAAAAACGTAGGAGAGACCCAAGAAACTAATCCCCGATTAGCAACGACGACTGGCCAAACGACGAACACAAGGCAGCATTCGAACGGCTACGCTACGGCGAAGGATCGAGCGTTGCACGGTCTTCCCAACGGTTGACAGTGGATTTCGTCATTAAGAAGACAAAAGCTTACCTGAAAAGAAATAGCCTACAATAAAATATTAAATCAATTATCCTTCCACAACGCACGCCACTGGAGTTAGCACGCACATGCGGCACACATATAGGTAGGAAACATGTACACTGGTCGCATGATGGTGCCGTAGAAGTCTTTATCACGACGCAGATAACTACAGTTCCGTAAAAATAAAACTGAATAAATTGCAAGTCTGAATTCGTTCAAGCCACTTAACTAATGCAATATGAAAAGTTAGAAACAATGAAGCGAATTCCGTAAGTATAATAGAAACCAGAGTAATTACTTAGTTTACAGAGATGATTAAATAAAGAGACCCCACGTTTCGCACTAGAAGGCTAATTTTCGATGCGAAGCTTTGGTGAACACTGAAAATCTTATCTGGGGTAATCCACATTGATATCGTCAGAAGTTTTTTGTTAAAAATCTGGATGCTCGAACGTTATGTCGATGGGGAAGGAACAGACGCAGTGATGAACCGTAATTCTGTGCGTTCGAGTGATGAGTTAATATCTAATAGGAACTATTCTTTTGATTTTTTATACTCAATAGTTTTCAAACATTAACAACAGCAGGAATTTCAATAGGCCTATATGCGTTCGCGGAAACGTAACTACTTACCGCACCAAGTATCGATAACAGAGGAGGTCGATCGATGGTTTGCTACGGACAGCATCATATTGCATGAAAGAGCGTTCACTATACGTATGTATGTAGGTATACATGTATCTAGTTTGTACAGTTAACTTGGTTATCAGTTGGAGGTGATATAGCTGGTTTCCATAGGCGACGCTTATTTAAGGCACAAGCCGTCAACGTGTCAAACGGCACCGAGTAACGACGATAAGCAATAGTGGTCACCCTGTCGGTCGATAGTGGCCACTGATTATTACCTGGCGACAGAACCTTTTATTACAGCCGGAAAGGCTACAGCAGTTTGTAGGAGCAATAGCGGGGATCGCTATCGGCCGATGTCTGCAAATCGATCCCGTTTCCCTACGAACGCAGTTGCACCCTTCAGTTCATGTCGGCCCACTTATCCTAGTTTGTCACTTGGTCTTCCCGTCCATTCGCTCTCAAGCCCGGTCCAGACGTTGATGGCCATTCGCGCAGACGAAGCTGCTCATCGTGATGGTTACGTGTGCCGAATATCGTCAATAGATACTAACATCGTTTTCCTCCTTCTTTCGACATTTCACTCGTTTACTGCTAACATCAGCATCGGGTGCAATAACAGTGACTGCGTCGCGGTAAATATCGGCGCTTCGGCCGCCGTCGGCAGCATGTCAAGATCGAATCAAAGTAAAGAATATGCACGGACACCATCAATATGGCCGTGGTTTGCTTCTGCCGACTTTATGCTATGCCGTCTGTCAACAGCTCGGTCTCTATCGTAGAAACTTTGCTAGAACATACGGGCATACCTAAACACGCACACCCAATGTATGCAATGAAATGGTAGCCAACGATACGATTGCAGCATCACCACATGAATGGCAACGATATCAACCCAACATCAGCCGTGGGCATCCGTCTTTTGATACCGTAAAATAGATGGCCTAGCGAGAGAGAAAGAGAGTCGACTATTTCCACCGTTAGACAAGCGGTAGGACCCCCCAATCGATCTTTAACTGAAAAGTCAGACAACTATAACAACAGCTACTGCTACTACCGCAACTATAACCTTAACGACGGTAAGCGCAACAATAACAACAACAGCGTAGCGGTAGCGCGTCGCCAGGGGACCTCTCCCACGGGGTTCCCTTCCATTGCGGCAGAAGCGAAAATAGCATGTTGAGGCATCGCCAGCAAAACTGCAAGCGCTCTTTCTTCCGCCTGATGCTATTTAGCTAAAGAAATGCCCCCGATAAAATATTTGCCCTGAAATATTCAGTCGACATCAAACGCCTCTTTTTAAATTGCTTGGAGAATAATACTGAGTTTCGCAATAGCGAGCGTGAGAATATAAACGACTTCGCGAATAAGGTTAAATAGCTCATCATTGCGGAATCGATTCCGAGCTGGCTAAACCGCAGTAAGGCGCTGCCGTTGTGAAGTCAGCAGACCACTGCAGGCCGGCTACAGTAGTAGCGGCGGCCTTACGGACTGAGGCTAATGTTACTGCTGTCGAACTCACGACAAATAGATCATTTGCTAAGTGACATCTTCTTCTATAACTACTCGAGCACGTAATTCCTTAGCATCGTCGAAGTAGATCGAGGCACAGCGCTTGCCTTCAACGAAACCTTCGACATACGGCGAGGACATAACAGTGCCATGCTATCGTAAATAAGCGTGACAGCTGGACCTGCTGAGAATATTTAGAGGCTATTTTCAAAGGTATCATACTAAAGGTGCTCTGCGCTTTACGCATTGACGGTGAGGTTGTTTCGTAAAAAGTAAAGACAGTGATTCGAGTGGAAGTAGAGGGTTTCAATCGTTTGTTGGATAACCTAGTGATGATTATATGTCTTGCTAACTAATAGGGATCTCGAAGGACTGCGTCACGACGATGTTCCCATCTTTTACGCTACCGAGCTCGTTGAGAATTGTTGTTGTGGCTGTCCTAGGTTTTGTAGAGGCTCACCAGAGCGTCCATAGCCAGAACACTATACAGGTAGGCACGCGTATCTCGTTACATGAGCGCCGCTTTTATATTTGCCGGTATTATTGTTGCACATTTACTCATTGGTTTTTAAGTTAAGTAACGTCGTTCCTCTTGTGTATATGGAATATGCCGCAAGCCGTGATTGATGTCGATGAATCAGAGCTGATCTAGTTGATCTCAAGGTTTAGCAGGGCTTATAAGTACTTAGACATGGCATAAAAAGCATCAGCGCAGTGGAATTTCTACACAATCTGCTTTTACTTTTTACCGCGCCATAATCGTTTTAGATATCAGAACAGACCCTGATTGGTAGGGCAGTAAGAAATAAATAAATAGAGACCCGTAAGCATAGAGGAAATATATGTGAGCACATTTTAGAGTGCACCTGATTTCCTCAGCTTATGTGGTGCACGCGAATAAAATTTACAGCTACCAACGACTCATCCCTTTTGGTGACATGTTAGACATAAGCTGTATCATGAATGTTTCTGGTGTCAACTCTTTAAAATAACGATTAATGAATTCTATTGCCTCACTATAGGGAATTTTAATTTTGTTTTGTTTTTTGTTAACACGCAGCTTTTAACACATAGATCCGGTAAAGGCTACGTATTTGCTACTTCTATATTATAGGGTATTCAAGCGTAGATAAAGTTAATTTCAAACGAGCTACTTGCTCTATAATGGCTAGATGGACCTTGTGGCGCATTTATAGGCGTTCGAAGGCCCAAAGGCTATATGGAGTGGAGGGTCCGCTTACTTCCGATGGGTCCCGCACCATATCGCGCTTCCTAAACCAATCTTTAGCGTTCGTCGGGTACCATTGCCCTTCCCATATCCGGTATTCCGCTACCATCAGGTGCCAATGTACGCCGCAAAGGATTTGCCGCCTAATCTACCTGGACAGGCAACTATCCAGGTTCCTGTCGAGGTAAGCTTTTCCTACTTTGTCATGAAGACACAACAACTAACGTATTCGGTAACCACAAATCAACTTGACCCAAAACAAGTAACGGGTGCATTTAGTAAATAACATTTAAGGTTTACTATATATGTCTTTGGGATACCTGAGCTACAAGGCTGAGCTATATCACTAGTAACGTTATACCCATAGGATAATGCACAAATGGTTATCATTTGTTATTGTGTACTAGGTATTGCCATTAAACTAGATATTACTATATTACAATAGTTATTTAGTCGAGCTCTTCCAAGCTTTGTTTTTATGTCGCTCATTCATTATCCGTACCCCAACATGATACACGAATATATCAAGCTTACATTTACCCTATTCGGCTGAAGTGGCCTAGCTCAGGGTCACTTTCGTCACCAATACTGCGTTCGTATAGCTCTTCGTTGTATGATAGATTTTTAATCGCACAAATGCGTTTAAAGGAAAGGATTCTAGTGTTCCTTTAAACGTGCACAAGGGAATCACTTGTGTCGTACCGTAAACATTTATCTTTTCACTGTTAGTGACTTAAAGCTAACAGCCTGAGTATTCTCTTATTGGCCAGGTGGCTGAAAATACGGACTGGGGCAGTCTGCCAAGGTCTGGCGACCTTCGATAAAAGGCCTTCTGTGATGATGCATGTGTTTGCTGCGTTTTTTCTGTCCTTGTCTAATTATATCCAATCAACATCCCTCTGCGTGTCTAAAGCATGCTGAAGCGTATATAAATTATTTTTTATTCAGTAACTATGCACGGTCCAGTTTTACATCAGCTGCGTAGTCGTTGTCGTCAAACAGTAGTTTGGCGCTTTACATACGTGGTAAGCGAACTAGGACGTTCCATTCAGCTTCGTTATCTAAGGCGTTTCAGGATATAAACCAAAAATAATGCAAAGAGCTCATACGTAAATCAATTCGAAGCATAATAAAGAAGACTTCCGTCATCGTGATATATGGCCACTAAATAAACACGTAAAGAAAAAACAAATAACTATTCTGACAATGATGGAGCACCTGGGATTTGTCACGAAGTAATAAGCCATCTGTTCGGGATATTTTACTAACCCGTGATGTTTTATGGCTCGAGCCATTGATGGCAAACAAGGTCAATTTGTACCTCTAGAGATCGCTTAAATTTGTTTTCGTTGAGCTCGGGTCGCTTAACTAGATTATCCGGAAACATGACAGAATAATTAACTGCCGCTCGAATGGAAGATAAGATGCTTGCTTATACTGTTTAACTAAAATACAAAGCTAAAAATGTAATTGTAAAGCGATATTTCATTTTCTTAGCATTTTTTAAATTAAACAGAATGATCAGATCCGAGCTATCTCCTGAACCAAAAACTATCCGTTATCATATTTGAACGAACCCTTCATACCTTATGTGAAGATTTGCAGCGAAAAACACAGTGATATCAACTGTATTTCCGACATCTGCTTCTCAATTTTAGGTCCCAAAGTATGTTCCTGTCTCTGTACACAAAGTGATTGAAGTACCCCAGTACATCGAGGTTCCCGTCGAAGTGCCCGTTTACCAAGAAGTCGTTGTTCGGAAGCCGATCGAAGTACCCATTCCAGTTTATATAACCCGGAAGGCTATCGCAACAACACAAAGCGGTCCGCTGGTCGCTGGAGACATACGAGCATTCGATGCGGTGGATACGGGGTTGACCCCTGCGAAAGTAATGCAAATTCCCACGTTTTCCGAGTCTGCTTCGGTTCCAATTTCGAAAATTTGGTAGACGCATAATCAGGCTTCACAGACGTCAGTCTGCCATTGTCTGAATCCACAGGGTTCAAGTCAGTATTCTAATAAGAAAATCTGCAGAAAAATCCTGCGTTTTTCTATCACAATTTTACGGTCAAAGGTCAAGGTACGATACATTCGTTAGCACAGATATGGATAATATATTATACCGAGCATTTGTGCCTTTTCCGATGATAACGCTGAGTGATTTTATTACCCAGCTCATTCAGTATAATAAATTAGCATCTGGTTAGTCTGCTCGTTATGAGACTAAATAACTCCATATACATAAGGCGCTGACCGTCAATTGCTCGAATCGAGAGTTATACATGTGATTTTGTCATATAGATACTTAAGCTTAGCTAGGTAGTGTTCTAGTAGTTTTTTAGAGAAAATTTTCTCTGTGCAAGTATCGCTCGGATCATTGTAGAATATTTAAGAATATACGAGAGCGTAAAGAATCACTAAAACCCATATATTGTGAGACTAGCTTTATAAATATGGAAAAATCATCTTACTACTCATGCGTTTTTACGATAGATTACAGTATGCGTCGATCAGCTGATCCGGAGATTCATTTTGACGTAATCGTGATAACAATGGTGATTATCTAGCTAAATTTCCTGGCTAGCCCTGAGCTGAAGCAATACTTTGTCTGTGTTCTAGTAAGGCTAATGGAATCATGTTTGTAGAATTAGTGAACTGAAATAAATCCTATCACGAACGGATTCCGTGACGGTCTCCGAATAATTTCGATTCCTAGTATTTTTTTGTCCTGTTTCTTACCGATACAAACAGGTTAACTCTCCATTTCCGGAATTTAAATTATTTTTAGTTACTCTATTTCTGCAATACTATTATTATCGGCCATTTCTAATGGAGCACGATGCGTCTACTGTAGTTTGGCCAGTTCTGTCCAATTTAATTGAGGTCTCTAACTGCTTACAATTCCACTGCTGCCACATTGGCAGCATGTGATCCCCACATATAAAATCGAAATAAACAAACACAGACGCTCTCGCTTCGACGGACGGCCAGGCATTTACCATCGAAGTGCAGTCAAACCTCGTCTCTAGCAGCTCACGAATCGCCGTTATAGTTCACCACTACCGCCCGGTTTGTCCCTCTGACTTCCTGGGTTCGTTACCTGAAGCTCTAAAGCTCTCGTCCCATATGCTACATCTGTGTGACGATGTATAGGCTATATAGTTCGTCTTGATATCAAACGGAGAGCGTTTCTCTCTAGCGAAAAGTCTGGCTAAATTTTTTTTGAGCCCACATGATTCCGCAGCCCAACATGGCTGAATAGGCGACTATCCGAGGACAAAGAGCTGCTTGCTAACGATAGTAAGACAGGTTTTCATGATGAGAAAGGACCAGCCAGTCACATATCCTTATCTGTATCGACTAGTTAAACTGTGCCACACAATAACTGTATATAATATTTAACGGTTCGATCGGAGTCTGAGAGAAAGAGAGAGAGACTTTAGATATTGTTGTTAGGCGGTTTAAGCGACGCATAGGAAACTTGAATCTGTGGCCCTTGCCGAAGCTGAAATACGCTTCTGTACTATTGCCCCTTATCAAGACGTTTGTTAGACGGTCGTTCATATCTAATGTCGATTCTGGTATGAGCTGATTCACTGACGGCGCATCGAACAGCCAACAAATACGTCCAGAAAAGATGGCTGTACCGTTTCAGTGTCTAAAGACATTATATTTTTTTGCCACTTGTTTAGTTATAGGCAAGAATAAATACTATAGTTACTCTTTTAAGTGTTTTCTTTCTAGCAAGTTCATTTGCTCTGCGCAAATACTCGACCGATTCTAGCGTTGGTGGGCGCTATAGCCGACCGGCAGCCTATGCTGTACGGTACGACTCTGGCTAATTGGATTTGCCAATATAGATATTATTTTGAGCAATCAATGGAACCGCTGTGAGTCAGTGCACTAATACTGAAGGCATCCGCATAGTTATACACAGTCCATGTTATCCTTCGTGTTCCCGGCCAGTTAATGTCGTGAAGTACGAACATTCCTCTACAACAGAAAGAGACGCAGACATGCACCTTTCTCCATCCTCTGTTTCATATGCTTCCCTATTGCTTCTTTCCTATTGTATTCTCTTCATCGGGCTTAGACTGTGTCAACAAAACGCAAGACCGGTTTACACTGAGAGTGCGTCGATGCGCGTAGTACCCCATAGCTGGGAGCAGCAGCGACTGATGCGAGCAAAAAAGTTGAATGAATGGAGGAGAGAAAGCTGGCGATGTAGCAAAGCGGAGGCTCAGAAGAGTTACCTGCCGTTCTTCATTTGACGCGCTGAATCGTTCTCCCACGCTTTTGCTCTTATTTGCCGAAGTTCCGTTAGATCTGAAGTGAATTGAACGAATGAACGTTACCTTGTATGCGATAGCGTATGCAGCAGTCGGGCAACATCCTGCACTACTAGGCTAGTTTTACGGATCGTTGAAGCTTATGATCACGGCTCGAAACTGGTATGAAGACTCCAGCCGCTAGTCAGCCAGTAAAGATGTGTCGCCGGTTAGCGCCATTTTACCCGTGCTGCGCTGGATTCGAACGCGCTAGAAATCTCGATAAACCAGGTAGGTGAGCCGGTCGTAGGATGACGGAATTAAGGGTAGAGGAAGCCGTTATCAAAGGATAGGACAGGGGCTGAAAAGGGGCGGATATAGCACCAGGCTAGCAGGACATGCATATGCCATCTCCATTTGCGTACATACAGACCATTGTGGCACGTTAACTTCAGGGGTTTACCAGAGAATCGGCAATTCGGTAGGTTATACAAGCAACATTCAGAGCGTTGGTTAACAACTTCAACCTGATAGAGACCCGTGACCGGATGGTAGAGAGAAACCCAGATTATGAGATCTACGATCGTTGCAATGAAGAGGTGAAGTCTTTCAATCAGCGAACTCGATTTCAGATATTTTGCTTGTAGACAGAGCAGTGATTCTCTGAATCTGGCTCAAACAAAATCATCAGAACACTTGAGGTGCTGGTTCTAGTAGAGAACTCTGTGTTCTACATCGAAGGATCAAATAAGTGCATTGATGTAAATAAGAAGCAAGTTAAAAAATTGTGACAGCGTCTAATTTGTGCCGATCAAAATTAGCAAACGTAATATAAACGAAAATGTTCGATAAGTGAGGTTACAGTGGTATACTTTGGAAGCCTAGATTAACTGCTTTTTTCTGGATGGAAGCTTTCATTATATATTACGTAATCAAGTGGCAACCTTATACATAGTCCGCCAGCACTTCAAAGCGACCTGTACGCGCGTCTTCAGAACACCGCCAAACAAGAAATCCTTTCGTACCTGTTTTAACGAACGGCAAGTGGGCGCTTTAGGCATAATAATACTAGACGCGTTGCCTTGTGTCCCCAAAATATTCTCGTAGATTTCTGAAGGCTTCCGGAAAAAGAAGCAAAACCGTTAGGTGAAGCTATTCGTTCAGTATGTGCTGTTATCGCTACTTCAGGACATCATTCAATTACGCTAACATTACGGCCTTAGAGCATGTAAAAATCAAGAGTTAACATTTCATAGCAACAGGTAAAATTGCTATGGCATTGGACTGGCTATATACAAAGGTTACGACACCTAAATGGAAACTTTGGCGAGGTGTATACCGTAACGGGCCTGCGATTACTATGCCGCTACTTCTGTTATTAGCCAAAGGCTAGTCCACTCTATAGTAAAACAATAAACGCGTCATCGCGTGCTAAAAGTGCGTCCATTTCGATCTATAATCGAAGGAGATACTATGCAGCCTATTCAAGCTGGATGAACTTCTTGGGTCAATTTAACTCGACAATGTAGCATATCGCAAATAGATACGCTGCTGGCTGCAGAAGGTGCAGGACCAGATTCCAATGGAATACAATGGGAATACGTGACAAAACGATGCGGACAGCAGCGCAGAGCTGAAAGTGAGTCACTACCGCCCCAAAAAAAGTATCTCGTTCAGCCAGCTAGTGAAGGATTCTAATGTGAGTCAGCGTACGCTGTTACCGATTGTTCGCGAAGACTTCCAGTGCGCGTCATACGTCATTAGACTCAGATCGATACTTTTCGAGTACAGTCAAGCCAATTTATTTCACCGATGTTATTTACTACCCAGTGCTTTCATGCATCAAAGCACAGACCGTCTTCTATTTTTTCTCCAACGAGAAGTATCTTATCCTCGACGCAGAAATTATCGCTGGCTTACTCACAATCCAGAGAATGCTCCTATTAGGAAATAGAAGCAAATATCTCGTTGAAGTTCATGTTATGAGTGTGATGTCCAGTGAAGAAGATCTTATGCCAGCATTATTCCTTCAGATAGGGAAAATGCATTAGTAAAGAAGTTTATTCGCACATTTTACAATCTACTGTACAGGGGTACTTCGATAAAGTGACCCACCGACTCATATAAGCCGCTTAGTGCAGGATTGGCTGCTTGACAATACGCGCATGTTCTGGAACGGGCATGTATGGTCACCGAATAGCCCAGGTTTGAATCCGCTTACTTACGTGTGGAACGTGGAACGAGGATCCAATAAGTATGGATACGGACACGTAGACTCGAGCACTCATTCGTTCGATTAAAAAGGCGTTCGAAGGATTTAAAAAAAGCATTTGAACCCAAATCGAGGCTGTAATCGAAACGAATAGTGGCTATATTGAATCAGCATGGCCTTTAGGAATGACATACGTAGAAAAATATCGTTCAAAACATCGTTTTTATGTATATGCGGTTTGAAACAAAGCATACGACCAAGCCGCAATTCAAAGGCCATATCTTCGTCTGAGCCTCTAGTGTTTGTTATGCGAATTGTGCGGCCGATAAGGGAATACCCGGAGCCTTTAAGCGAAACTACAGAAGTGAGTGACCAGATGCCTGAAACGTAAGTTAACAAATAGTGCATTGCTGGTGTCAAAAGCTTGACATCAGTGAGGTCAATCGTATATAGTTGTCATAGCTAACATCCGCATAGTCCGCCAATGGTCGCAAGTGTATCTTTCTCAGTAAAGTATATCTTTTGACCTAATTGCAGCTGTTTTGCCTTTATCAGAGATTTAACCGAGGATTAGCAAATTAACTGATTAACGCTGGAACTCGTTCCTTTAGCAGGTTTTGCCTTAATAACGACTGTACACACTTACGTCTTTCGACTTCCAGTGCAGAGCAATCTATAGATATTATTGCTAGATCGAATCAGTATAGTTCAGAGCGAGCCATCTCCGTTCGCGTCATCGATACTGCACCGCTGTGGCAGTGCAAAATTTATTAATATCCATCTTAGTTTGAATAGAAATTTCCAATTTGAGAACAACTTGAACCTTATACAATTAGGTTACATATAATACATAACAAAAACATTATTCTCGATCTTGCGGTAGTACAAATCGCACTCTGAGCATGTAACGATTTTTACTGCCTGTGAAATTTTTTACTTAGAAACATGTTTTAGCCTTGTCGACAGCAAGTCGTCGTTAAAATTCGATGGGTGAATTTAGGTACATAAATAGATGTAGCTAAAAAAAAACTCTTCCGGAGACAGCGGCCCAGATTTTGTTCAGTTGAAACCCAGCCTAAATGGAAAAGATGAAAAATTCAACAGCGAGAAATAAAGATAAACTGTTGAAATCCAGGGAGGTACATGATGAACGATAGTAATACTAATTAATAACCTAATCATTGAAAGATCAAGGTATATACGTGAATGACTCATGATCGATCGCCTGAACAGGAAGCTACTTCTTTTGCAGATATGCGTCTGTATGTTTCTGGCATTCTCTAATCACCAAGACAACCTAAACCCTGCTTAATTTACAAACGGATCGCAACAAAATCAAAATGGCTAAGAATTTTCTTCTAACTACTAACCGAGAAGGGTCCCATTCGATAGTTTCTCATTTGAACATGTGGTAGCCTGAGGACTCTTTATATGCTAGATAATGCAAATCGATCTATTATCTGCTCAGACTTGCTTCAGGTCTGCAGGATAAATCTCCGCTTGTTTTTTAGCATGCGCCTATATTATCTATCTCTCATACAAATTGTTTGTCGTATAAGCAGAAGTCCTTCAACTACACCTCTACAAATGTATACTGCCCTACTACTAGAACTGCCCTACCACCGTATCAAATTTGTTCTATGATAGCATTTAATTACGCCTATGGAGTAGTGTACGTAATGGGAAATAATGAATATGGAACAGCCCAGCTAGAAATTTATGAGTATAGTAGTACCTGAAGTACCCTATAGTAGTACCTGAAGTACCCTATAGTAGTACCTGAAGTAAAGTCCGAGCGGAACGCGCTTACAAAAAGGTTTTCTCAACAAGCGGCGTTTACAACCGACCATGTCAAAACTGGCGGTAGACAAGGTTGTTACTAATAACATTAACTAGCTAATGCTCGGGTATGCGTACATGAAGCGACAACTTAAAGGATTACCTGTAGTCGTAATAACACGAACCAGTTGTCGGCAAAAACACAGGTTCCTAGGGAGGGTGAAGCTGGATCCCAAAGGACAGCATTAGGCACAACACGCAATACCTGATCAAAGCTGACGAGATTTTGAAAACTGAACATTTCAATAATACATGACCCCTTGTACACTGGACAAAAGTCAGTATAAGGGGCGTGGCCGAGTATGCAACTATGAT